AAGAAGGGAAAACTAGCTAGATTTATATTTGCTTTGTCTCTTTCTTTTGGTTGTGTTGATTATGATTTATGTGAAAATTTTGCTCAAATGACTTTAAACTCGGATGCGTCTCGGGTTCCACGTACTACTCTCACTCTTGATATAATAAAAATTATGAGTGAGAAAAACTAATTTTGACGCAAACTTTTGAAGCTTTAAATTAAAAAAAAATTATTTGTTGTCACATTTGGTCCAACTATTGACAAGATAACTTTTACATGGAAATTACTTATCATTTGAGTAGATGATAGTTTTACATTACGAAAATATTTAGTTGCTTACACGGGATTTCCTAATGCTCATACTGTTTCTAATATCGCTCGTTTAATTTCATGTCTCATGAATAGTTATAGAATTGGTAAGAAAAAAAAATAATTTCTTTTAATAATGTTACTATTAATACTGCATCTATACCCAAGCTTAAGAAAATCTGCCGTCTCCTTTGTAGGGAAAATTTATTTCATATTCGGTATATGTGTCATATTCATAATCTTTGTGTTCAAGCATGTTATTATGCTTTGAAAGAGTCGGTCATGCCTATTAAAAATGTCATTACTTACTGATATCGTCGTTCGCAATAAATAAAACAATGGGGATACTTTTGTAAAGAAAAATAACTCCTAAAAATTCCAACCATAAGTTCCAACCCGTAGGAACACCATTTATAAAATGTTATTGAAAACGTTTGCATTTTCTTATCAATTAGATGAATTTTTAAGAGTTTTCTATGTTGAAGGCTAAACACAATTCATGTTGAAGGCCTCGGTTAGAGTAATTTAATTGTAAATTGTGATGTTGTTAATTATTTTTACTCTCCAAACAAAAAAGTGTGGTGTGTTGCATATTTGTTGTACCTATAGTACAAATACAATAATACTTCTTTTAGCTATTTTGTGCAGTTCGGTTAATACCACACCATGCGGACAAAAAACCGAACCACACTAAATTTTTTGCGGTTTTTCAAAATCCAACCGCACCGCAAACCGAACACTGTAGAAACCGAATCGAATCGCATCAAATACATCGGTTCGACTCGATTTTTCAATTTCGACTCGGTTTTGTTCACTTCTACGCATGCCTCATGATTAGGGTTTGCAGACACTTCAATGGTGGTGGGGGATCTGGTGATCGACAACATTGCCAACACACGTATAATGGGTGTCCGCAGGAGAGTCATCGAGAGGAAGGCCAAGGGGAATGACCTCTTGTGGGCTATTATGGGAGGCGGGGCTGCGAGCTTTGAGTTTATGATTAAAGTTGACTACACAGCTGAATTTTGATCGCACATTTAAGTAATATTTAACGAAGAAGGGAAACATGTGTGGTTAAAATTTAATCTTGTATTTCTTTAATTATTTAAATAACAGATTGACCGACGACGTTGACCATTAACTAGAATCATTAAATTGAAGCAACATGTGTGGCTAAGATTTTTTTAAATTATTTAAGTAATCAATTGATTGGAGTCGTTGATCGTTAACCGGCGTGGACCTGCAGTAGACGGACGTTGATCGGCAAGCGACGACGTAGACAACGACGCCGAAAGTGTACCATGAGCTCAAGCGACGTGTACCTCGAGCTCAAGCAGGTGTTCGAGACGGGAATATCCGTAAGACGGAGCTGCTGTGCGGGTTGTTGGTTATCTGCCTGCAGAGCCGCTGACGGCGTGTCCCTGTGGAATTTGGGGATCTGCCTGCACTTCAAGATGCTGTTACAGTTGTTGGTTATCCTATCGGGGGTGATACGATCTCTGTAACAAGTGGGTTGGTGTCGCCGATAGAAATTCTTTCCTATGTTCATGGATCAACCGAACTTCTAGGATTGCAGGTAGCCTGTAATTCAGCTTTTTTT